GGGGGGAGATCTCGTGGTCTAGAAGAACGGTGTTCGCCTTTCATTCGATAGGTCCCAGGTTTGAAAACTGTCAACCACTGAACATGTTCTACTCTAGCATGTTCTCCTTTCACCTCCTTTCCTCTCCCTAATGCTGTTCTGTCACCTGTCAGCTACCTTCATCTCCACTTTCTGCCCCCACCCCCACCCCACCCCTCCTTCTTTGGGTTCCAGACCGTTTCAACTGCTACTCCTGACTCTTTCTTATTACACTGCTGTCTTTCAGCCACACCTCTGATCTTAGGGTTGGTAAGTCGAACACCTAGATCTCGCCTTCTCGAATTAGGTCGAAAAATCTCCGAAATCTCGTGTGCTAGTTTAACAGGTGAAAGATCCTTGGTGGTCCTCAAATCGGTGGCTGCCCAGTTTGTCACAGGCCCAGTTTGTGACAATTTCATTTAAGTATTTGAGTATTGGTGACAGTCATAATTACAGTACTTTAACACTGTAGTTGTAACTTGCGTTTTTTATTCTCCACCTTCAAATTCGTGATGTAGAGATATTATCTCAAAAATGTCAATTCAGCTTGTATTTTTCAATATTTCTGCCTTTTTGTAAGCAAATCAAAGCAAATTACTCTATAAAATTTGAACAATAAATGTGAGGCAGCGTGGTGGAATCAGGCTCTCGTCAGTTTTGGGACATGTTGAGTTATTAGTATAATCTTAAAACTTGTTCACTTGTTTTTATTTTGATGGAAAAAAAATCCATTTCTCTTGAATACAAGTCGAGATATTAGCGAAAGAAGGAGGTGGAGGTCACCTGTTTTCAGAGGTAAAATTTGTGAGAAAATGGCCGCAAGAGATTAGTTATTTCCTTAGCTTAAGAGTCCGTGGTAATTGAAAATTTACATTTTTTGTGCTTTTAATCAACGTTTTTCAGAAAAATTTCTACAGAAATTAGTTCTTTAATAGGCATGAAAGGTGTTGGGCCAAAAAAAAAATTTTGATAAAAATTAGTAAACCTGTGGCAAATGCAAAATTCTTCACTTTGATTATTTTGACGAGAGCCTGATTCCATCACGCTGCCTCACAAATGTTATGTCATTAAAAACAATTGAAAAATAAAATTCAATACTTGCAATCAATCAATCATTCATTTACTCTTTTTTTAGAGTGAAAGTGATAACTTCCATCATGCAGGGCACAGTCGAGGTCTGTGACACACTGGCATGCTTCCCTACAATCGATAAGAATAGGCTTCGGCTGCCTCACGGGAAAAGTTCAAAATCAATTCCTACCAAACTGATTAATTCTTAATGTGTCCCGCACGCTCAAATGGCCTTATACTGTTGCGAGTACCGTAAAACAGTTACCAGAATTAAGCCAAAAATAAGCCAAAGGCTACGTTGTGCACATTACGAGCCATCACACACATGTCAGAAGTCCGCCAAAACAGCGCGTCCTCAAGCTTTGACGAATGATCAGAACACGTATCTCAACTACATGTCGTACTTAGATGGAAGCTATGTGTGTAACATTCTTTTAACAACCTGCAGCATTGACATAAACACACGCACAAACACACACACACACACACACACACACACACACACACGCGCGCGCGCGCGCGCGCGCGCACTCACGCATACACACACTACACACATGCACACACTCATATACACATTACACACACACACGCATACACACACTACACACATGCACACACTCATACACACAAATACACACACACACAAATACACACACACACACATACACACACACACACACACACACACACATGTGACAAGAAACATAAACTAGTATGATTTCTGTATATTTCGCTGCGACATTTAGTTATAGAAAAGAAGAAAAAAAACTTGTTGGGATTTTTTACTCCATCACAAGCAAAAGCGCTAACCACTGCAAAGTTGTCATCATGATGAATATCCAGCCAGAAGAGAGGACGAAGAAAGCAAACGTCTTTGGGTAGCCCTGGTGCAACATGTTTCTGGAGAAATCCAAGTGTAACGATAAACACCACCACAGAGCTGTGAGTAATGAGGTACGTGGAGGGAAACAAGAGAGCTCTCAAGTCGGGCGCTCTCCATGGTTTCTTGTACGCTAAGCTCCAAACTCAAACAGGTATGTATTACCCCCCCCCCTCTCTCTCTCTCTCTCTCTCTCTCTCTCTCTCTCTCTCCGACTGGGCTCGTCCCAAACCCTCGGCCAAAATCTACGTCTCCTGTCCTGTTGGCCGTCTGTGTCTGTAGTTTTTATCTCACGTGACTGTGGCGGCTTAACCTTTTCCCCAGGCAAAAGATTTCTGCATTGATTCGTGTCTCCCGGGTAGTAGAGTTGGGGCGATCAGACGGACGGGTCGTTACTCGCGGACTCAGTCTGAGCGAGCGGGTAACGGACGGCCATGAGAGCGAACTGCGAACCTCAAGACAGTTCGTTTTTTGGGTCCGCTCCACAATTTGACTCTCTCAGTGAGCGGACAGCGGACCTCAAGCCTCAAGTCAGTTCGTTTCTTAGGTCCGCTCCCAGTGTCGCCATCCAGATTTTTAATAGACAACTAAATTTGGAAAAAAATTCCACTAAATAGGACGAAAAAAACCCCAATGTTTCTTTTATCTGCCTTATATTACATATTTATTCCTTTTTTTTTTTTAAACCTGTAATAGCTGGTTCTTTATTTCTGACCAGTCAAACATATTCATAATATATAGGCCTATTGTACATCTATGATTCTTGATAATCGTTAGACTGGCCAGATTTTAGACTGTTCTTGGACTATAGTCATCATTTTTGCATGTATTTATTTATTTATTTTTGGTTCATAACGTTTAACAAAAGATTGACAAAATTATTTAATCGATTTTATATGATTTTTGTAAGTAAAACAAATAATAAAAAACCCACTAAATGTGCTGCAAAAAAACTAAACAACTATATCGACCCAAAAAACACTAAATTAAGTGGTAAAAAACTACGAATGGCAACACTGTTCGCTCCTCAATTTTATTCACTGAGTGGGCGGGCGAGCGGACGAACTCTAGCAGACGAGATACTCGACGCGAGATTAGACCCATCGTCTATTATTTGTTAATTAGGCCCATAGAGATACCCAATAATACTAGAAACTGTATAAGGTCACGTGACACGTTCCCAGCTAGATACAAACTCCGTTAGCCATCTTGCAGTCAAAAGTAAACAATCGCTTTCATCATGGTCTACATCTGCTGTGTGGTACATTGTACACAAAGAGCTACCAAAGAGTCTTCTTTAGCTTTTCACAGGTAAGCTTGCCACTTCTTTTATTTCATTTTTAAGCAGACTAGAATCTAGATAGATCTAGATTCCAGATCTATCTTGACTAGAATTAGTCTAGAATAGATTCTAGAGTCTTGATCAGGAAAGAAGAGTAAAGCTAGAGATTTTACTAGATCATCTATAATAATCTATCGTCTAAATCTAGATAGATCTAGATCTAGACTCTAGATAGTTGAAGCAAAATGAGACATTCCGTGACCGTGGAGCGCGGAAGTCGCGTTCTTTGGCTTTTTGGAGACTGTAGGAGTTAAAAAGAAAATTTAGCTCCCATGCCTCTTTGAAAATGGTGGGCGTTGTACATAATTTACATGTAAACTTTGTACAACAAAAAAAGTTCAGGTAACAGGCTAGCATAATCACCGCAATGGACTGTTTTGTTTACATTCACTTGGGGACAATGCCTCTGATCGCGTCTGTCACAATTCCAAAATCATGACATGATCACCCTCAGTTTTGATCTTTTATTTGAAACGGTTTGAACTGGATTTGTCCATTTGGTCACTTGTGTCATACACATAAACAGGTTGGATGCATTACTGTAGATCTAGTAGTTATCATACAGAAATAGGTAGAACAAAACAAATTCGTAAAGGTGCCGCAAAAATGTTGCCTATAACACAGCGGGATTCCCCGGATGGCATTTCGGTGCGCGATCAAGGCATTGTACGTGTTGTAACCAAACCTTTAACTACGA